AGAAGCCACTGGACAACTATCTTTCTGAAATGGTAAAGGGCTCCTGCCTGGGTGGGGGGTTTGACTAGATGACCTAGAAGGTCCCTTCCAATTTTGTTAATCTGAATCTATCTCAGATTATCAAAGGCCTGGAGATTAAAACATGTAATGAACATGTGATGAACTGTTGCAGGACCTGGGCATGGCTAGTCTAGTGAAGAGAAGGATCAGGGGAGACATGATAGCAGTGTTCCAGTATTTGCCACAGAGAGGAGGTGGTCAACCTGTTTTCCAAGGCACCTGAAGGCCAGACAAGGAATAATGGATGGAAACTGATCAAGGAGAGATTCAACCTGGAAATAAGGAGGAATGGGAGCTTCATCACTGAAGGCTTTCAAGAAGAGACTGGACTTCCCTTTGTCAGAAATGGAGTAGAGTCTCCTGCTTGGGATGAGGGTTGGACTAGATGACCTACAAGGGACCTTCCAACTCTGTTATTCTGTTATATGACTATAATGGAGCCTGCCCATTAAGGTAGTAAGCTTTGACGGTCGTAAAATACTCATGTGACGAGTCCGACGTTGTGTTTTTTGCAGCAGTCATTAAGCAAACACCACAGTTGTAAAGCTGCCACTGCTGCACTCACTGGGCAAAGGTCGTGGTCATTAAACAAACTCTATGGGCAAAACTATGCCAAAAACTAGATGTTCAGCAAAACTATCATAAAATGAAGTCATTGAATGCAGGAAGTGGTGGGTGCTCCATCACAGGAAGTTTTCGAGAAAAGACTTGGCAACCATTTGTCTGGAAAGGTATAAGATCTTCAGCAAGGGGTTGGACTAGAAGATCTCCAAGGTCCCTTCCAACCCTATTCTTCTATATTCTGCCTTCTTGTTTTGCACCTTATTCTGTCAAACCAGGGTAAAACCCATATTCTGTTTCACTTCCTCCAAAACATACCCAGAGTTCTGACCGTTTCCCCAAACATGACCACCCCTCTGAAGTGAACTCAAAGATTCCTTTAATTAGGAGTTTCTCTCTTATCACAGGCTAACAAGTCCATCCAGCTGGGAGATGAATAGTTGTCTGTCACATCTATTCATCTCTACCCCCTGCCTTTGATCCCCAGAGCTAGAGTGGAACTTCACTAGGAAAGGTGGCTCTTCTGTCCCAAGGACCAGCCCATAGATTTCCACTGCTCTCCTCT